GTCGTCACTAATTTGTTTTATTTAAAATAATACTCTACGTTGTGAGCAAAATAAAAGGTTCAATAAATATTCAATATACATACATACATACATAAACACTCACGCCTGTCACCCAGAGGGGTAGGCAGAGACTACAGACTTCCGTTTAGCACGATCCTGACATACCTTTCTCGCCTCTTCCACATCCATATACCTACGCATACATGCTCGTCGGTTAAGGGTACTCTTAATTTGGCCCATTTTTAGTATATCGCCAATATGGTCGACAAACTTCCGCCTAGGACGTCCCTTTCCGACTCTTCCATTCACTTCTGCAACATATATTTGCTTTGTCAGTCTTTCCGCATTCATTCTTTCTACATGACCAAACCACCGAAGCATTCCTTTCTTAATCCTGGTCACCGCATCATCTTGCAAACCACACTCTTCTTTTATCACACAGTTTCCCACTCTGTCATTCAGATTCAGCCCTAACATACTCCTTAGGGACCGCATTTCTACTGCATTTATTCTACTCTCGTGCTTCTTCTGCCACACCCAACTTTCACTACCATACGTTAAAGTAGGGACTAATACAGCACTGTGAATTGCCATACGTGCCTTTTTTGACACATTCTGACTTTTCACAATAGAGTGTAGAGCCCCATTTACTTTATTTCCTGCATTCACTCGTCGTTCAATATCCTTATCATATCTCCCATCCCTGCTGAATACACATCCCAAATATACGAACTCATCCACTTGCTCAATTAACTCTCAGTAATATTCAATATGACTTGCAAAAAAGTGATTCTTTTCAATTTTGTACAAAAAATTATATTTTGGTTTTTTTTCATGTTCCTACAATGTCATCCAATTCTGAACTATGCTCGAAATTTAAAGTCTCTAGCTAATCAGGAAGAGCTAGAAATTTGAGTTTCAAGATTCCACTCGTAACTACAGACAGACAGTCAGGCGAACAAGGAAGTGACTTAATAAAAACGTGGTAAAATAATAAAATTGTAAAAAATTTAAGGTGGAACTGATACCATGGAACTTGAAAGAACCAGATGATATTATACTACGTATATAACCTATAACCTATACTCAATTTTTGCTAATGTAGTAAAACTTTCTTTAACGCTATAAAATAATTTATAACCATAAAATTCCTTTTATTTTTAAGTTCGTTTTAAAAAAACGCCAGAACATGGCAACATCTTGTAATATAATGTTTTAGGCATCGTCCTAATTCGTTATAATAGTCTAATCATTCTAATCGGCTACCAATCGTAAGAGTGAACGTGAAGTGATTAAAGAGCATAAAGTAAAGAATTTTTAACACATTAAAATCTCGATATCAACGGATAGAAAGCCATTTTAATAGGGCCCTGTACTCTGAAACATGAACAAACTTATAAAGACCGAAAACAAATCGTATACACAAATTTTAAAGACGTTTTAGTTTGTTTTACAGTTCCTCAGAAGCATCCAGGAAACTAAAATCGGCGTAGTTATTGAGAAAAAGAAGAAGTTCTTGAGCTAAGGTTATCTCAAATTTAAGCGGTAAAACATCTGATGGCGCTAGAGAGATTGAAAATTGTCGTTCACCTTCCTGCTAATCATATTGATGTGAGCAACCCAAGACGAATTATTATCAAAGTTAACACCTAAGACTGCTATGTCTCTGTACATGGAATCTGAGTATTATCGTAAGTTAAAGCAGGGATCTTCGAACAATCTTATAAGTCAAGCATACGTGAGCTTCCGATAATCATAACTTGGGATTTATTAGGGTTAACAAGAAGACCAAAGGCTTTTTCCATTGGTCTTCTACTACTGGATTATGCTAATTAAGTCAGCATTCAGCAAATTAATAATAACATTTTGATTCTTAGTCGAGGAAAAATGTGGATGTCTATGGACTTCAGCATCTACTTATCTGGATTTAAGTGGACTGTGTTGTCGTTAGACATCATCATTCCATAAAAAATATTGTTAATGATCCCATGGGAAATTACCAGTGTGGTTTACACTTCTTATCTTACTGCTGTATATTTTGGAATAAAATTCCGAGTGTGTGACAGACTTGGGTAGGTTATGCTCACATATATGTCTCTTCTTGCGTCGACGTGGTATGAAAGGTTTTTAACTTTTCTCTAATGTGGTCCAGGAATTTGTATATACGTCAAATTCATAAGCAAGTATTGCTTGCAGGGCTCATCTGCTCGCTTTTCCCGATAAGCTCCAAATTTTACATTATTTAAATGTGTGTATCTCGCACTTAATTTTTTATGTTGCATGTTAAACAAATTTATTTAAGATTGATTTAACGATTTATGCATTGTTTTTTTTAAGTACGATAGGTACGATATTTATTTTAATAATCCAACCATTAAATGTTATAAAAATAAATTCCAAAGTAAAAATATAAAATGAAAATATTTTCAACTTGTAGAAAAAACTATTTCTTATTTTTTGTTTCGCTAAAATCTCAAGAACAGCATTCTTAAATACTCGTACTCGTGCTAGTTTTACTAGTGCACTTCCATCTTGATATTACAGACTATCATTTCCGTTTACACTCGACTCAACAAAAAACTTGGGTGCTTGTTTGAATCTGTGTACAAAATGTAATAGTCGAGCATTAATAATTATAAGCAGACGTTTTTGACTTCAATTATTTACTGGTAAATATTCATATTGAATAAAAAAAATATTTTTCTTCGATGTAACGGAAAGGAAGGAAAACCGATAATTGTGCTTCGTGTTAGTCGCATTTCTGCAATTGGTACTTTCACTTTGTTACTGAGTGATCATTAATTAAATTTATTTAATGGTTAATTGTGGTATTAATCTGTAGTGCTTTATGGATATGACATACACACATAAATACTCACACCTGTCACCCAGAGGGGTAGGCTGAGAATACGGACTTCCATTTGGCATGACTGATGGATCCACGATCTTGGGATATGAGTCACTCGCGTCCGGAGGCTTTGATCACCTAACCCTAGGTCCGCCCTAAACGTGATTTACGGGTGGTGCTAAATGAGCGAAAAATCTGAAAGAACAGACTAGGCTCCTCGCCGTATAACAACGGCGTAAAATTTACAACCCCCTCGTTCACGCCATGAGACAGTAAGTAGTGTTGGGATATTACCTTTTGTGGTAAGACCACACCTAGTAAAATATAAAACAGACCGGATTGGTCAATTTTTAGTGTTCCATACATAACGAGTATATTACGCCATATATACTGTACGAGCAAACAAGGCAATCATTCTTCTGGAACTATCGGTATCCTATGTAACGCTTAAGCGATAAAATTATATGGAAAAAATCTGAACCAACGAAAAATATGGGCGTAAATGCAACTTAAATTCCTATTGACTATTTGCTGACTAAACTTTTTGTTACATAATAAATACATAAAAAGTATTTATTTAGTAACTATGCAAAGAATGAAATTAGTCTGAAGTCAGATTTTCATTTAATCTTGAAGAAAATAATATGATTTATATTAAAATGCAATAAAGTACAAACAATGGTCGCCTAGTGGTTAAATAGTGGTTACTAATTCTTTAAATTTGGTTCAAGTTTGTATAATAAGCAAACTGTATTTCACTTTCAACTGCACATTTATATATAAAACATATAAATAATACACAAAATATAAAACTAAAACTGATCCCAGACTATTAAAGGGTGTTGACCTGAAAGCACTATCGCACATAGTAAGTACTTACTCTGAGTATATTATGTTTTATTTTATTTCATAAACAGTATATGTTTTATTTTATTTCATTTAATGAACTTGTAATACATATTATATATAAATTCATATAACTATGCGAAATTTTACACTCTTCCGTGGGCACAATAATCACAAAATATTTGCATCGGTTTGTTTTCTGTGGTAAATTGAAACGACTGAATTACAATAAACTTAAAATAATTTAAAAATTATGTTTGACGTTTTAGCATCAATTTGTTGTTACCAGCGGTTTTCCGGATCAATACTAATTATGGACCTTCAAGAAATAGCCTAGTTCATTCCAGATATTCATGGACTATGGTAATAAGTTACACGTGATGATATGGTCTGTGTACTCTGTACACTCTTCCCTGCTGTAACGTGTGTTTTTTACTAACTGCATTTTGTTTTTATTTTCCTGTAAAATTATGTGGATTTATGCAACAAAGCAGAATTTGGGTGCGAAAAAGGGTGGCATTTAAGATTCACATTATTAAAAAAAATAGTTAAAGCTATACTACAACTGGTCACACTTTTAATAAAGGTGACACAATCATCATCATCATCATCATCATCATTACAGCCCTTCACAAGTCCACTGCTGAACATAGGCCTCCCCCAAGTAATGCCACAAAGCACGGTCCTGAGCCACATGCATCCATCGACTTCCTGCATATCTTACCAGGTCGTCACTCCATCTAGTGGGGGGTCGCCCTACACTACGTCTACCGGTACGAGGCTGCCACTCGAGAACCTTTCTTCCCCATCCGTTATCGGTTCTTCGAGCTATATTCGGCCGGCCCATTGCCACTTCAGCTTACTAATCCGTTGGGCTGTGTCGGTTTACTGCGGATTGCATTCTGGTTTTACTGCGGATATCCTCATTTCTGAGTCTATCACGCAGAGAAACTCCGAGCATAGCCCTCTCCATAGCTCGCTGAACGACCTTTTAAATATGTAATTCCTCTAATCTATGTAATTATCTATTTATCGAAACTTTTCTTAAGAAAAAGCGTAAAAAATCGTAAAATTTCTCCTGGGTCACAGTTCCACTGAGTCACAAAACGAGTGACCCAAGAGACGATTCTTGTGAACCAAGAGACATCTCGCATTTTCTTTACATATGATAACAAATAAGTCTCCTTAATAAATATTTACATACTATTTCAATGTTCCAACCAATTTCGTTTTCTCTGTAAAGTATTTTCATGTTAATTATTAGGTTTGTTTTGGTTTAGTGTAAGTTTAGATCGTTTCAATAAATATGCTTTTAACAGCCGCCGAAAGGCAGAGTAGATATAAAGAAAAACACAAACTGTATTCTGAAAAGTACGAAGAATATAAAAGAAAAAAGCGTGTGAATTATCATACAAAAAAGAGACTTATCAAGGACTTAACACCACAAGAGAAATATAATGCAAGAACAATTTGGAGACTTAGGAAGAAAAACTTAAGACAAAACAGGAATAATTTAAATCGCCTTCTTGATGATATGACACCTCCAAACTCTTCTTCTATATTGATACCTGAAGCAGATGCTATGGTAGCCCATGAAGCTTTTCAAAATACATCGCATCGAAAAAATGACGATACGGATATCTCTGGTATTAACAGTCCGCAAAATATGCTTCCACATAAAAAATTATCAAGGTAGAGTAAAGGACTACAGAAAATTAGGGGAGATCGATCAAAATTATATAGGGAAAATTGAAAGTAGCGAAAAGAAAATGAAAAACTACAACAAAAATACGAAAAATAAGAAAAAACGTTTCCAATGAAACAAAAGCAAATGACAATGCTGATGAAATTACAAAGTACAAAAAGCTATCCGGTGAAATCAAAGAAAGGTACCAAAAAAACAAAGAAACACAAAGATAAGAAAATACTGAAAGACATATTTGAAAGTATTGATGACTGTGCAAAAAAAGTAATAGTTAAAGAATCTTTGGGAATAACCGGACAAATAAGAACTTGAAAGTCAAAACTAATGCTTATTTTAACTATTTAAAGAAATCGGGTTGATAGAATTATGCCAAGCTCACAACAAGAATTGGTATCAATTTGTTTATAAAACACCTGAAACTTCTGATGATGAGCCAGTGATGACATCACTAAAACCAAAAAGTTCAACAGCACAACTTTATAACAAAAAAGAGAACCAAGAGGTGAGACAGAGGGACTTTTTATTAGTAAACGTTCATGCCACAAAAGGTAAGATTTTTAAATATGCTTATGTACTCGATGATTTGCACGAAGATTCACATTTCACAAAACACATTTCATCTCGAATTCTAGCTGAGCCTATAACGACTACCAAAAGAGGCCAACAGTATTACATATTTGAATATAATGTACACGTTTTAGAGAAGTGATTTGGCAATAGTTATTTACTTCACTACTTTAAGGTTTCCGTTATTATATATATATATATTTTTACTTATTGTTATTGTGATTTTTGTTGGACTTTTTATTGTAATTTGTTATCTAGACTACGCAATAGAGTTTTTGACAGAATTTTTATATTATTAACAATTTTAGAATTTATTATTTTTCTTTTAATTTTGGTTGGTAAATCGTTATGTCTCTTGAGTCACCAAGTTTGTCTCCTGGCTAACAACCATGTCCCCTAATTTTATCATGAATATCTCGACATTTAAATAGAACAAAACATCTTAGGTATATTTCATTTTTAGATAATGGTTGATGAATAAGTGGCGGTAAGTACAGTATTAGTTTGGCTTACATGTGTTATTTAAATAAAAGTTATAGTAAAAGTTTGTATTGATTTATTTTACCAGTGACACAAGAGAAACAAGGGACGTCATTATTTTAAGAATAAGACTGATTTGTTTAGTTTTAAATACCTATAATAATTCCTTTAAACTTTAATAAAAAATAAGTATACTAATTAATCTTTTCCTTTTTGTTCTACTTACGATATATTGTATAATATGTCCGTTACCCAAGAGATATTCAAAGTTGTCAGTTCTGACATTCTTGGTTAAAAACTCTAATGGCATTTAAAAAAGTTCGATGCTCTACATAAAATAATAAAACTAGATGGTTAATTTATCTATATTTAAAGTTAAATAACTAAAAAAAAAACTAAGTTTATTTTTTAACACAAATATGTTTTTTGCAGGAAATATGTATGAAGCTTCATAAGATAGGTATAATCTGCATGTTTTTGTATCACACGCTATCGACAGGTACACTAACAGTTTATCTATCAAAGATCATAAAATATTGGAGCGATTCCTAGTTGTTATGACCATACGTCTTGTATAATACGTGAAGAGAAAACCTTGTAACCCTTTTTAAGCATACTGCGCGTACGAAGGGGTGTGAGATTAGGAATACTTAAATTTCACATCATGGAGAAGTAGTGCATAAAGCAAAAGGGATACATATGTTAAAAAATATTAAATAAAAGTCGCCAAAGAATTTTAGTATTGCTAACAAATATTTACCGACAGATTGACTGAATGAGCTGTGAAAATAAACATTTGAAATCACACAAAATGTTATTTCAAGTTTCTTTTTAAATAGTGTGTGAAGTGTATGTCATGAAAAAACAGCGTGATTTTTATATTGTTTGAATAAGATATCTTTGTTTTACATATAAAATGGTAATGACAGAGAATTTTAAGCTTCCTTAATAACAAAACTCATACATTTAATTGATTAATAATGAATTTTTATCACGAGGCGGCTACTTGGTCAGTCTTGGATCGATTCAATTAAAAAAAAATAGTTTACAGGCTCTTTAAGTTTTAAAATTTAAGTGATGATTTGTACAGTGGTAAATTATGTTTAGTGAATACACCAGGCTCTAAACATTTTTAATGTAGGTATATTCTCTTCATTTACAAAGTATTTGTTGTTAGTAACATAATATTGCCACGAAGCTAAAAATACATGTGACAGGATGATACAGTATTGCATATAATTTTTACCAAAAAAGAAAAAAAACTAAGCGATTGCCGCTAGCAACCACTCTGCACTTGTTTAAAATATCGGAGAAAAATTTTCTTCGTATTTTATATATAAATTTAAGACATTTTTTTTAAGTTTAATTACATTTACTTAAAATATATATGTGCCATTTTCTTCTACAACTTGTTGCATATTGTAGGTAGTGACACAATCCCGTTGATGTAGAAATTATGGGTTTTTCGATAAAAAAATGCGACAAGTAGTTTTGACAGTCCTCTCTTGATGTTAACCTCACGACCCGAAGAATAATGATTAATATTATTATTAGTGTTGTAACGCTCCCCCCCTCTTGGATTATATAAATATATTAGAAAATAAATATATAATTAATTTACCCTTTTTCAATAAAATTATATATATATGACCATGATTAATAAAATATGTTTTGATCTTTCTAAATGATCTTTCTAAAGGTTTAATAATAGGCCGTTTGTAATATTTATGTGTGATCGTCTTAGTTAGGACCCTTATTTACGTTGTGTTTGTTTAGTAACTTAGTTCTTTTAGATGTCTTTTGGAAGAATAAATATTCACTAGAGTAATTGAAAACTGTTGGTAGTGCCTTACAAGCTAAGTGAACGCCGTTTAAGAAGACAGGGCTCGAGAAAGGTTAAGAACATAAAACGTCTCTATTCCACTTGTATAAGGTTTACATAATTAATTTATTATTAATTATACCTTCCCGCTTGGAAAAGCCTCGCAATATATTTATATAATATACTTGATACAAGGGCTTCGCTCTCCTAAATTTATTTATAAAAATGTAGGGGAGGCTCACGGCTCCACACACGCCGTGCGCGGTGAGCGCCAACCATATTGATGCACTCCACCCGAGGTAACGCTAATTCGGGAATGAACCGTAGTCCACAGCAAAATAACTGGCGAACCAGAAAAAGAGGCTTGGCCCCTTGTTAGTGCGTAAGCACAAACATCGACCAAAGTCGCGCATTTCAATGCGTGTAAACGCCATACAGAATACAAATGAATCCAGCTACAGTGAATGTACGTCACACGGTTTAGGCAAATAGGCACACTGGCCGTAAACCTTCGGTGAGCACCACCACCTGCCAGACCGCCGCTCCTGCAGACATGATATAAGTGTATGGCATCACCACCAATTGCATGATCAAAACGGCTAATAGCCGCAGATCGTGTCATGAGTCTACCGCTCACCTCAAGAGAATGGGGTACCATGTTGTGCGGCTTTCGGCCGCAGCCTTGTGAGTCTCCACAGATCCTCCCGCCAGCTACCACCCGCATGAGGTCAACACATATGCTCCACCAACTGATATAGCTAAAAGGAAGTTATAAGATAAGAGTAATAATTCGCCGTCAGAAAGGGTTTGTGTCACTGACGTTGAGTAAATGCATTTTCGATCATGTTTGTCTCGCCCACCAACAAGTTGCCTTCAATCATTCAAAGGTGAGAAAGTTACAGAGATATATTATTATGTTGTTATATAAAACATCATGGAGGGCAGACAGTCCGCAGCCCCGTAATGAAGGGACCCGACATGGGCAAATCTACTCAGGCGTGAGTTAAACCAAGACGCAGAGAGCGCCATTGAGAATAGTGTCCCACCAAACAACCATCACAGAGACGCAATGCTGAAGAACGCAACAAACATCAATACGACTATCTTCGGGCTTACACCTTCCCTAGGTCCCCCATACATCCCAGCAAACATCACCACCTGCGTACCTCCATCGACGTCAAATATGCATAAGCATCAATGCAACTATCATACGGATGGCGCCCCCTCACAACACATCCACATGATCCTTATCGACTTTGCTAACAAAATTCGTATTGTTGTTAACTTAAAAATTTAATCAACGTATCATAGTAGCACGTTACTAAGACGCCAGTGAACTAAACTCCACGTATCATAGTGCCAATGCACTAAGACATGAAGTTGAGTATGCCTGTTACACTTAAAAGTGCTACCAAACACACTCATCCCAATCCGAAAGATAGACGACGCATCGCTATGCGCTACGACGTCGCCCTCAAACGGTATGGGTGTGCGATGTCCACGAGAAAGCCGTATTGCTACAACAAACCCGCTTACCACCGGCTCTAGGATGTTAATTGTATATCTTCATCGACCAGAACCACAAGAATGCGTCGAATCAGGCGCAGCACACCAGCAGATCCATCACAAGACGCAATAACGCAAGTAGCAGTAAGCATCAATGCAACTATCATGCGGGTGGCGCCCCTTCACAACACACCCACATGATCCCTATCGACTTTGTTAACAAAATTTTTATTGTTGTTAACTAAAAAATATCACCAACGTATCATAACAGCACGCTATTAAGACGCCAATGGATATAACTCCACGTATCATAGCGCGAATGCACTAAGACATGAAGTTCAGTATGCTGGTTACACTTAAAAGTGCTACCAAACACACTCATCATCCCAATCCGAAATATAGACGACGCATCGCTATGCGCTTCTACGCCGCCCACAAACGGTATGGATGTGCGATGTCCACGGGAAAGACGTATTGCTACAACAAACCCGCTTCCCACCGGCACTAAGATGATATGTATAGGACACATCAGTTACCGAGCCCAAGTTTACCTCGCACCAATTGCTCGTGAAGCGGCATACACGCCACCATAATACTCCTTTTCAAGTCCCTAATA